AAAGCATTCTATGCTTCTCAGCTTGTAGAAATGTGTCTAGGTAGCCAAAAGCTGGTAGTGTCTTTATATCATTTATAGCACCATCCGTTTTGTAGTTTTAACTGAATACAGCTACAGATAATGTTTCACTCATATTTCTAGCTGCTTCTTCTTTTCAGTAATAATCACACCATTCAAAGTCTTTAGCCGTTCACATTTATTTAATAGTTGGGTTGAAGGCCTTCTGCATCCCCTCATACACGCCTCTAATATTACTATCAGTGCTAGCATTTTGAATGCTTCCGCATAACTGGATCCAGTAGTCATTGACACACTGTGTGGCTACTTTTTGCAAATTGATTTCGAGCTTCCTGCAGTGCACTGAGAGTGTTCCTTGATGTTTTTGCTTTGTTTCTGAGGAGTATTAACTTTCTGCTGTCAGTTGAGGGTTGGAGTGTCTGGCTAGTTTCTTTAAACCAGTCCTTGTTTCTGTTTCCTCTAATTACATAAATTGTTGCAGCTATTTTGTCTACTTAATTGCATCCCATTTTAAGCTTAGTTATTCTGAATATTAGTGAAAACATCTTTTAGCTACTGTTGGACCGAAAAAAAAAACGTTTCATGGTCTTTAGTTATGGAAATATTTAACATAGGGATATATCTGTTTCTTGAAGTAAAAATTCTCTTCGGTTTCATCAGAACTCTTGTCTTCTTCTGCCTTTCTATCCCCCAATGGAGCATAGGCCTCAACCAACTCACGCAAAGTCTTTCTATCCTTCGCAATTTCATGGAGCTCTCCCCAAGTCCTCCCCATCTTTCTAACTTCATTCTCCAACTCTTTTCTCCGTGTGTTTTTTGGCCTTCCTTCATTCCTATGCACCTATGGGTTCCAATGCAAAGACATTCTAGTTATGTTGTTCTCCTGTTTTCTCAGTGTGTCCTATTCAACGCCAGCGTCTTTTCCTCACATTTTTGTCCCCCGGTGCCTGTTTAGTTCTCTCTAAAAGCTCTACATTAGTTATTCTATGATACCATTTAATTCCTTCTATTCTGCGCAGGCACCAGTTAATGAATGTTTGTAGTTTATTAGTAATTGCCTTAGTTGTTCTCCATGTTTCCGCCCCATACAAAAGTACTGATTTGACATTAGAATTAAAATGTTTTAGTTTAGAGAACTCTTGTAGCAACTATAAAATGGTCAGTATCATAGTGAGCACTATAGTAGCTGCAAGTTAATGATATATAGTTCAAGTACTTTGTGAGAATAAGGTCAAATGGTGCAGGTGGCCAAATCTTGGATGTTTCCATGACACCTTATGGCGGTCTTTAGATATTTTTAAAGAGTTTGTAATGCACAGGTCACTTCTAGTGCAGTTGCCATTGTCTCTGCCCATTTTCATTCATGCGACCATCAATATATTTTCTAATGCAAACTGGCCAAGAGTTTGATTCCGACTCCACGGAAGCATGAATTTCACCAAGTATGTAGATGCTGTCAGATTTAGAAATTGCTACTGATACAATCAGAATTGCAGCTATGTCTTAGCTGCTGACAACTGGGGACAGAGCGCTTATGAGAATGCCTCTGGGCTATGATATCGGTTCTCATGTAAGCTCAACAAATAGACAAAAAGCCCAATCCTGACAATTGAAGGAACACACTTTCCATAATGTGTAAAGCGGACATCCTGATGGTTCTGCTGTCCGGTCTTCTATCTAAGTCTCTATCAAGATGACATGTCTCCATTACGTGCTGCTGCTATTCAGTTCCGTTGCTAATCACGCATACGTGCTTGTGCACTTATTGTTCCCATTCAGGTTTTAACACGAATACCTTCTAGGTACGTTTACAGTTTAAATTTAAAGTCGAGAGGATCGATTTCCTCGCACCAACTTTTATAGCTTCTGACTCAGTCTCTTTCCACAGAATGGTTAGCCGCATACAGACAGCTTACACAAGGCACGAACACCGTGATTCCAGTGGCGCTTCCCATGAACTTCAGTAAAAACCGCCCCCATCCTCAGCAGTCAGCGCAAAGTCCTGTCTTCAGATTTTTCAGCTTGCTTTCATAGTCCTTTACAATTACAACATGTATATCATCATCATCATCAACTGGCCAGGGCGCTGATGCGTCTCCACAGATCACGATTCCTGGTTGCCTAAAACAGCTTTCTTGATGATATCCCTCCATGCGATCGTTTCAGCCCATCCAGCATAATCTTTTTTGATTTGCCTCTACCTTTTTTCCACTAATCTTTCCAGTTGTCACGATGCTCTCCAGTGTCTCTCTTCTTATTATGTGGCCAAAGAACAGTGTTTGTCTCTTTTGTATTGTTGTATAAAAAGATCTACTTTCATTAGCCTCTTTCAAGCAATCGTTGTTAGTTACCCTGGCCGTCTAAGGTATTAGTAACATTCGTCTCAGAAAGCACATCTCTGTTGCTTCCAAATTTGCTCGCTGACATTCCAAGATTCGCAGCCATACAGCAGAACAGGTTCTATGTAACATTTTAGCAGCCTCGTTCTGACATTAAGTGAGAGCGATTTATTGCATATTTTTCATTTTCTGAAATGCAGCTTTCTCTTGACCTATTCTGCTTTTAATCTGTCAAACATTTTCCATCTGATGATATGATTGTTCACAGATGACTTGTGTATGTCTCTTGTAAAAACCGAAAAACATTATGTGTAAGGAATCCATAACCTTTAACACAGACTAGCTGACAGGTCGACATTGCTTAAAACAGGTATTAAGTAACATCCTTGGAAGTAAAGTCGACCGGCGTAATGTTGATCCCATCACAGCAAGTGCTGATTGGTCTACAAGTATGTGAGTCCAGCATCATATACCCGAGTTGTCCCTAGCGAGAAATTGTCCTTTACTTGTATATGCAAGTTGATCTTTGCTCATGCGAGAAGAAGAAGCTATTGGAGAACATTATGACCACTAGAAAGATCAACGAAAGAATTGCAGAAGTATACCTACAGAAATAATGTTCGATGGTCTCAGACGGTGGCAGGAAGAATACCATAACAGAACTGACCCAGAACACAAGGAAGCCAGATAGACAAGGAGATACAAACATCCACGTCACCCGGGAAGGCACATCAAAGTGGTGATGGATGCTTATATGTGTATTAAATACCGTAATGCGTCTGTTTTTAGTATCAGCATAGCATAGCATAGCACTATCGCCTTGACGACATCCACTGTATACTATAGATCATATAGTGCGTTTCAAAAGCAGTGCCGTTCCACTTTACCAAAAATCTCAAAATCGCATATATGGATCAACACTAATTTTTGCATTTGGTCTTAGATTTCCCATGTTTTTAGGAATTTTCTAATTTAGAATTGCATAGGGCTGCTGTTTTCTTAAAGTGGTGAATGTCTTTGATTTTTTTAGACTTATCATTTGTGATTCTCTACAAAAGAAAAATAATATACAGTAGTTGACACATGTCTGCAGCTTTTATTGTTAATCAGTTCACATGAACAGGGAAGCGTGTGGATTATTAAAACAAGATTGATCCTGCTGGGTAGATTAGCACACAAAAGTGGAATATTGGTGCTAGATGAAAAGTAGACCTATTTTCTACAATGTCTCCAAGTTTCAACTTATTCTACCCACTTGTTTGCATGTAACTAATATTTATGTATATCATGCTGGCAATGCCCAGGAGAGCTCGGGTATAGGAGGCAGTTAGGTTCAGGGTCTCAGGTCTGGTAAGGTTAATAGCTTGTTCCTCATACACTGAAACATTGTGTTCATTTAACTCACAAAAGTCTAATGATGGAATTGAAAATCTGAAAGTAAAACATTTATGAAACCCCTGCAGTTTGACATTTTGATAATTTCTCATGACTCAGCTAACTGTAGGCATGCTGATTGCATTGTATCGGTGTTTGTTTTTTATGTGATCATAAGATGGCACAACTAGACGATGGTGGTTTTACCGAAACTAGGAACTATGTAGGCAACACACACACACATAAAAATACTAAACCCTTTGCAATACAGTGACATAATATAATATAACAGCGAAAATATGAAGTTTTAACTCAGTACAGAAAGTGATACAAAATAATTTAGCTCAGACAAATAGAATAAAATGTTAAACCCAAATAAAGGAGTCTAGATGCCACCACTCGAATGTAATCCTGATGTTGACGTGATAACAATGGGAGGCACAGCAGTGTCGTGGCCATATGCCCGTCTCTTGGCCGCAGGGCGTTTGAGTTCGAATCCGCACAGAGCAGCAGCGTTTTTTTTAATATGACATTCGCTCCCAGGTCGACCTAGTCCAAAACTATACTGTGGTAAAGTAAAGCAGAGGCGTCTGGCGTGATGCTGACCACATAACATCAGATAAGTCAACAATTCTAGCCCGATGGGGCACTGCAGTGACAAGAGTCATTTACCTACCTGTAGAGAATACTTTGTTCTGGAGAACATATAATCATTGGTGCTTTAATAATTTCCTACCCCAGATGACATTACAGGACAGTCCAACATTTCAGAGGGCGGGAAGCCTGGCCTTTACCCCAACCGACCTACGTCCCACGAGAGAGTGCAGCCTAGGTTCCACGACTGCATGCAGCCTATCTACCACCCCCTGAAACATTAGACAGTCCCCTGACCTGTGGATTTCCCCTTTTTGGAGTAGGATATTAATAAAGAACCTAATCCTTTTTTTATGTATATCTGTTCTTCTTTCATGTAGCAGTAATTGTGGCAACACTTATGAATAACTACAGTATTACAACATAAACAACCAAGAAATTACAACACAAACACAAACAAGTCATAAAACACAACACATGGTGAAGAATTATTCAGAATATTTATCATTCAAAGAGACCAGTGCAATTACAACAGAAAAATGCTGAAATAAATTACCTTCAAACTGCTAAACAACCAAGAAACAAGACAATAGAAAACACAACACTGGGGTGGAATTCATTAACAAGTGAAATTAATACAATACTTCTATCAATTCTCTCTAATACCAAGTAGAATTAGTCCCTACTTCTGTCAATGCTCATCATTGACAACTGATACAGTTTCATACTTCTGTCAATGCTCACCATTGACAACTGATACAGTTCCATACTTCTGTCAATGCTCACCATTGACAACTGATACAGTTCCATACTTCTGTCAATGCTCACCATTGACAACTGATACAGTTCCATACTTCTGTCAATGCTCACCATTGACAACTGATACAGTTCCATACTTCTGTCAATGCTCACCATTGACAACTGATACAGTTCCATACTTCTGTCAATGCTCACCATTGACAACTGATACAGTTCCATACTTCTGTCAATGCTCACCATTGACAACTGATACAGTTCCATACTTCTGTCAATGCTCACCATTGACAACTGATACAGTTCCATACTTCTGTCAATGCTCACCAGTGACAACTGATACAGTTCCATACTTCTGTCAATGCTCACCATTGACAACTGATACAGTTCCATACTTCTGTCAATGCTCTTATTCACATGCGAGTGCATTCTCCCTGCAGTACTGTTTTCTATTTATATATTACTGAATATAAATCAAAAACCCGTATGAATGCTCCCTTGTCACAACTCGATGTATTCCCTTGTTTCAATGCCACGCATTCAATACATTCAATTCAATTGTATATATAGTATGTGTGTGTTAACTACTACGTGTATTATACGCCATACTCACCACTAAACGTATTCCCAACTTGTAAAAAAGTTCGTTTTACACACATGAGTATTCGTCATTAGTAATAAATATATCACAAATTAATTTATTCCATGCAGGTATCGGTTCTCTTTATACAGTTTATTCTCCTCGATGCAGTGCACTTACACAAGGGATCATTACTCACACATGAATTGTGCATACTCTGTCTGGCTCTTATTAGAGGCATATATTAATGAAATACTAACGCCGTCACAGTAACATTATACATGCACCTGGCAGCGGAATATCTTCATAAGAAGTGCTGAGTGTGTTTATATTTCTAGACAAGAATTATCATGGGAAATAAAGGAGTCCGGCAGGATGTTAAGCAGATCTGCCGTACAGTGTCAATTAGTATGTCAAAATATGGTCTAGAACCACGTGCCCGACAATTCTGCGACATATTTGAAATTAAATAAGAATAGTCTCAAGTGTTCTCACTGAATACTCTTTTGGTAAGAAGGGCTGATCGTGTGTGAGTAGATGAGGTGTCCTGTCCAAAACATAAGTTTCAATTACGCGCGCGCTTGCGCGCGTGTGTGCGTGTGTGTGTGGGTGAAAATAGAAAAGACGTAAGGTATCAAAACATAGAACCCTGTTGGGGAGGTAAAAAGGGGGGAGGGGGGGGGGACATAAAAACTACATGGGACAACGTAAGCGGTTAACAATAAATTGATTCAAACTTGTGGGAAGGTTGAACTAATATTCAGATTTAAATGCATTTAAAAAGAACGAGACAGAAAACAATAATACTATATCACTAAATAATCCACAAAGAAAGAACTAGATCACGTTACACTAAGTGTGCAAATCTACACAATGATTTAATGCATGCAGGATGTGTAAAACAATAAAAGAAAATTTCTTACAGTTCTTTGCAACTACCTTTATGGAATATTCACTGTGTTTGCTGAATTATAACTGGACAGGTGGCATGAGATATCCTTTGTCGTCTTGGGCAAATGTCGTTAAGTTCACCTCCACTTCATTAGTGGCGTCCACGGCATTGTTCGTATTGTTGTCGATGGCCGACAACTCCATTCTCTCCTCCGTGACTGCACTGGTGCCGCTGCGTGTGTAAGTCTGGCTGGTTCGCTGAAAAACGCTCGTTTCATTGCATATAGATTTACTAGCTTCCATACTAGACCAGGATACACACTTAAACGCTTTCATGAAACTCTTTCTGAAGTTGTCGCTGAGGAAGGCATACAGGAATGGATTGAGTGTGCTGTTGGCAAATGAGAGCACTGTGAAGCCATTGAAGACAAGCACGAGAATAGCATCTTTGACATTAATGTCATTAAAAACAATATATGCCTGGAAACACCAGTAAGGCAACCAGCAAACCACGTACACGGCGATAACTGTGAGCACTAGACGGGTAACTCGACGATGCGAACGTCGTTTTTCCTTGGACTTTTTAGCTGGGCCAACCTGCCGTAACCTAAAGATGACTAACACGTAAAACACCGAGATGAGAGACACAGGAATGGCAAATCCTAAGATGAATGAGTACCAGATGAAGGCCTTGTCTGCAGGAATGATTTGATCTTCTGGCCAAAAGATTCCACACGTTTCTTTACCAGGCAAGAATCGGTGCTTGACTGTGGTCGAGTACAAGATGATTGGCAGCATGACAAGAAATGCCAGCGACCAGATGCACAAGCACAGAAACAGGGCAACACGCGGAGTCCGGTATCTCAAAGAACGTATTGGATGACACACAGCTAAATACCTGTCAGCGCTCATAACGCACAGGTTGAAAGCTCCACCAAAGAGGTTGATAGAATACAGCACGAAGTAGATCTTGCACATTGCAAGACCAAACAGCCAGTGTTTAACCAATGCAGTTGTACCCATGATGGGAAGAATCATAAGAAATAGAAAATCCGACAAGGCCAGGTTGAGTATATACATGTTGGTCACAGTCTTCATCTTGGCGAACATAAGAACCACGTAAATGACCAAACCATTTCCGGTAACGCCAAGGGCACAGATCAGCAGGTAGCAGACGAGCAGCACGTAAGGAAGAACGTGCTCGTAAAGTGGAATCACCAATGTCTGATTGGTTATGTTGTAGTTTATGAGCTCTTCATTATCCTCCAGCTCGCACAGTGGAAGGTCGGCATAGCTAGTGTCCAAAGAAGTTTCATTGCTGAACTGTTCGGTGTAGCTGATGTTTTCAGCCATTCTTTGTTGCGCTGTTAGTGTAGCAATTGGGAAAATGTTGACATTAGTTATTGTTTATACCCAGCAGAGCATTCTAGTGTTGGTATCAGCTAGGTCTAGATTACCTGAATGGTTAAATACTGGCGACCTTTTTAGCCTCTGAATATGGTACTATTAAGGCCATATTCGGAAAAATTATGTGCTGCTTCAAAACATAACACGCTGATAAAGGTATCCGCTGTGTCCATATTAGCTGGCATGTCTTGTGTAACTGACGCTTTCATGCAATTTTTCTGATAATGTTGCAGCTGTAAGTAAATATTCGCTGTTATCCAAGTTCTCCATTCAACTTTAGCCCTCAAGCATCTGCCGTGACCACATTAGCTAAACAGCAAATATATCTGAAATGTTACGCCATTCTTCTCTGCACTATTACTGTCTAACTGAAGACACATACTCACTAAATGCAAGATATATGCATGCCCAGACAAGATAAACAGCTCTTTAAAGCATGCCTCCGCGCATAATATTTAGTTAAACTTTACGATAACCGCACAACGCATTCAGTTCTACCAATTCCAATATTCTGTTTCCTAAACATACAGTTACTTACAGTCTGAATCTTACTTTGAATTTCTTAAATATTTCCGAATAATAAATTGCCCAAGTCTGAGCGTTTATCCTTTCAGCTTTCTGTCAACAATTATCCTGAACCCCATCACTGGTCTGAACTTCAAATATGTGCCAGCATTTTCGATTGTCGAGGGTTTACATCATGAGATTTTAAAAAGGAATGTACGGTTTGCCAACAGCTAATCAATCTCATTACACAAATTAACAGAGCTCTGCCCGAGGCTGTCTTCTTTTTTTTGCATTCTTGATATTTACTGTCAATTCACATTCGTGCAAACTAATAAATTAGGGTTGTCAAGTTCCCCCATCATGTCTGCTTTGTAAACAAGGATAGAAAGAAGCGAAGTCACTTTTGGCCGTGTGTTTGCTCTGCCATTTACTTTCATCGGCTATGACAATTATATCCATTTGCGCTTTATCATCTAGTACGATTGCAGTTCGCTGATTCCATTGCACAAAATGTTTTCAGTAAGCTACAAAGAACGACGAAATTGTAATATAGTTAAAGTGATAATGAAATATGGGTCTTATCGACTGTTCAAGTCTCCTTCAGAACAAACGCCTGCATATGTCACTATCTGGTAATGGTTTGTACAGACGTCTTGTGAGATTATAAAACAGAGACACTTGTTCTGGCTTTGAGTGAAGATATTATTGTAGAAAATCTCTTGCTGATTGTGGAGTGACTCTGAGGATACACAGACGTAGACAATCAAATAATATCATTTTCTTTCTTCTTTGTACACTTTCAGACGTCAACCTGGATATATTTAAAGAAAATAGCTATTAATTTTCTTTCCGTCAAGTTTATCCTCAAATGGCGCGGGTGTGGGGCATATCCAATGCTTAAGAGAGCATGTAAACGTAACATGCGACAGAAGAAAGGAAATCGATGTTAAGATGAATCAAAATTGTACGACCCAAAGAAACAAACAGCGACATCCTTTCTAAAGATCCTTCAGGCATACAGCATAGACCTACAGCCTAATTATAGAGTCACAACAACAATTCCAGGCATAGACAGAAAGGCTGAAGAATGTAACCTAGTACTGCATGCAAAAACCCTTGAATATGTCTACAACTATTTTCCAAAACCGGAATTGAAACACGTATACACAGGTGAAACATTGGAGAAGGCAGTAAAAAACGGAAGAGCTGGATCGATCATCATGCTGCAAGGTGGGACCACAGCAGAAACGTAATGCGCCTCCAGACGACTCTCAACAAACTTCACAGCAGAGCAGCAAGCAATTATTGATTCAGCCAAAGTGCTTGAGGAAAGAAAAATTAAAAACAGCCAAATTGTTTTCCTTTGTGACCTCATGTCAGTTCTCTCAACAACTCAGGGGGATCCACGAGAGAGAGAGAGAGAGAGAGAGAGAGAGAGAGAGAGAGAGAGAGCTGACCCGCCAGCTAAACAGACTCTCAGAAAACAATCAGATCGTTTTCCAGTGGATCCCGGCTCACTGTAGCATACCAGGAAATTAGTTAGCAGACAGACTTGCAAAAAATGGAACAAAGGAGAAAAAACACACCCATTTATTGAATTACTAGAAATCAAAACACTTATCATAGGAAAACATAAGGAACTGCGGAGAGAACAAACAGTAAAAATCCACAAGACCCCATCAGCAGACTTAACAGAAAGCGACATACAACAATTTTCCAGCTACGAAAAAGACGTTGCAGGCGCAACTACCAGGTGCATAAAGTAAAAATTGTACAGTCCCCACAGTGTACCTGTCAAACAGGACAACAAACACCTGAGCACATTCTGTAGACTTGCAAACTCGACCTACAACTTCGAAAAAAAACCTGACGTCAAAGTGTGCAGAGCAAGCTATGAGGTATGATGAAGGACATGCTACTGACATGCGAATTCATAGATGCAACCGACAGTACGGTCTGATCTGAACATACGAAACGGTGCGCAAAAAAAAGAAGAGAAGAAAATAAAGGAGGAAATATCTTGCTATCTGAGAGGTTAGGTTTGTAACGTACAATGAACATATGTGTTCCTTAGACAGGACAATTAATGTAAACAAACAGAAACGTTGTGTAGTATGAAGACTCAGGACTCTGATGATTAATGAAATTGTTACTGATAGTAAATGTTTAACATAATTGCTCAACAGGCTAAGGTTTAGGTTTAGACGACGGATCAACATCATGGCACAGGGGTGGTAACCTATAAGTGCTCTCTTCTACTTCTGACTCAAGCCTAAGTCTGAAGAATCTCATCGCAGTGCACGAACTCCGTAGCATCGTCGAGAATCCTGAAATACTCTGGGTAGATTTTAACTCTAAATTTCACCCGGGCAGCGTCGTTAGACTATTCTTTTTTTATTTCGAACTGCCAAGGGATTTTATATGTGCGTTACAATACACACAGCGTCCGATCTTACTACCCAGAGACCAGGGGAAATTACTAGAAGTCAAAGCAAAAAAATCCCAGCCTTCACTGGGGCTTGAACCTGGGACCTCCAGCACTAGAGGTGGACGCCATGTCCCGAGACCACCATCCCCTGACCCCCCGAGTGTAGGCTAAGGGCTACATGTCAAAGTTCGTCAATGTACGTATATACAATGCCAGGCCATTTGAAACGTGTCGTAATGGATTTATTACAAACGTGAAAAGTATATGAGCATATTTATAGAAGCAACGTCGAACTTGTTGAACGAACGAACGAACAAACTTTACTTTCAAAGGGTTACAAATTGGGCACGCAGGCATGTCTGACATTGGGCCCTTCTAAGAATTCATTTTTCAGAGTACCAATGCCTGTTATTAATAATGCATGTTATGAATATAATAAAGAAATATAAATTATAGAATAATGCATACACACATCATGTGTACACAATCGTACACACTCACACACACACATATACATACTCCAAGGTTCTCATACATGCATCCATGCATACACACATATACAGTCACATGTACAGACACCAACATATGCCTACAACCACACATTTACACTCACATGAATACATACAGCCACATACATGCATACATACACACATTTATACATACACACACATCTTTACACATACACACACATACATACCTAAATACTCCCACATTTACCCACATACTTACACATCTAGATTAGCAGAATGGCTCATATTATTATAAATCAGTGGTTCTTGTGAAAGTTTCTGGCCTTATACTGAGATTCGAACTTCCTAGTTTCTAAGACAGATGTCAGCACTATCAGTGGTCCGAGAACATTGGTCCTTTTAAAGCGGACTTGTAGCATCCTCTTCCCCCATTAACAATGTTTATTAGTTCTCACTTCAGATATGGGTTTATGCATGTCACATTATTTCAAATATATGATAATACGCCTCTGTAGTTATAATTATTATTATTATTACTACTACTACCTAGTCATACAAGGTGTAGTCCGATGGGCGCCCCCTCCCCCCCCCCATAAGCAAGTCTGTAAGGGGCTAAGACGCCATCCTTCCTCCTGTTTCACCCAGTATTTGCTATGTGTGAGTCCTTAGACTCTATATAATAGCTCTAATCAATTAGAGCTCAAAATCTAGTGTGAAAACTATGTATTATCCCTAAGCTATAGTATCTCCAATGCCGTTGGAAATACTGTTTCCCTAAGCTATGGTATCTCCAATCGTTGTAAATACTGTTATCCCTAAGCTAGGATATCTCCAAGTCTTTGTAAATACTGTTATCCCTAAGCTATGATATATCCAATCGTTGTAAATACTGTTATCCCTAAGCTATGATATCTGCAAGTCGTTGTAAATACTGTTATACCTAAGCTATGATATCTCCAAGTCGTTGTAAATACTGTTATCCCTAAGCTATGATATCTCCAATCGTTGTAAATACTATTATAACTAAGCTATGATATCTCGAAGTCGTTGTAAATACTGTTATTCCTAAGCTATGATATCTCCAAGTCGTTGTAAATACTGTTATTCCTAAGCTATAATATCTCCGAGTCGTGGTAAATACTATTAACCCTAAGCTTTGATATCTCCAATAGTTATTAATACTGTTATCCCTAAGCTATGCTATCCCAAAGTCGTTGTAAATACCGTTATCCCTAAGCTATGATATCTCCAATAGTTGTAAATTCTATTATCCCTAAGCTATAATATCTCCAAGTCGTTGTAAATACTATTATCCCTAAGCTATGATATCTCCAATAGTTGTAAATACTGTTATCCCTAAGCTATGATATCTCAAAATCGTTGTAAATACTGTTATCCCTAAGCTATGATATCTGCAAGTCGTTGTAAATACTGTTATCCCTTAGCTATGATATCTCCAAGTCGTTGTGAATACTGTTATCCCTAAGCTATGATATCTCCAATCGTTTTAAATACTTTTATCCCTAAGATATGATATCTGC